TACCTCTCATTCAATCGCACAATAAATATATTTCAGGGTGTAGGTGGTCCGACGAGCCTACGGCACATGCATCGTTTGCACCTCATTGAAATATTTAATGCTGTTGTTCATCTTCAATCAGAAGGCAAGAAATAAGCAGAACGTTCTACCGGTGACCCAGGTCCATTCATCACTTGTCAACTTGAAAATAAAAAAAATAAAAATTTTAGTGTAAAAGTTGTAGTTTTCATGGCGCCATTAAGTAGCTAACTACTTCAAGTCAAGAAACTTGTTTTATCTTCTAATTGAAGAATCCTGGACTCCGGTACCAAAGTGCTTCCTTATCACAACAGTCTACGTAATACCTTCCTCCTGTTGGTACAATATATTTTTTTAGCCTTATTATAAACTGAACTACTATATAAATAAAAATTTCAAGTATAAATGGCCAGTCAAAAGGGCATCCCTTGTGGTATAACTGTAGAGAGAGAGAGAGAGAGTATTATTTATTGTATACCAATAAATAAATAAATAAATAAATAAATATTTATTAACAATCACGCCACGTTAACTGGTCCCGTGCTAAGTTCGTAAAGAACTTGTGTTACAAGTACCAACCAGATAACGGTAAAGACATTTATCATACAAATTATCTTCCCTTGGCGGGATTCGAACCCGCAACCCCCTTGTGTAGTGACCATGTCACTTACCATTACAGTGTGTACTGTGTATGGAATTTTTAGAAATACCACGATATCGAGGGACATCGATGGCTTCGTCACAGAAATAGGCAAAAAAGCATTACTTGTTCGTAGAGGCTGGCGAGAAGAAATCGGGAGACGACAAATGTGATTTCTTTTTTAAAAACAATTTATAATTTTGTATTTCCCGTCTGAAGACGGTGAAAAAGATATTTTGTTTTATTTGATCAATACAAACGTTTAAACCACCCATCATAAACCGATAAAACCTCAGATAAACAAAAAAACAATGCTTTAACGGCTTTAATTTAAAATTATTGTCGTCTTTCTAGCATAAAATAAAACGTCATCATTTGCACAAACAACTTCAAATTAGCTTTTTGACATGAATCAGTTTTGTCTTTGATTTATGCACTTTATGACGTTTGATGATCTAATTAGCCATGTCCTGGTGAAACTGAAAAGGCCTCTGGCCCACCAGTAATACTTGATCCATAAAAAAAATGCGGTAGAAGAGAAACTTATAAAATATAAAAATAATCGCAAGAGTCAACCACTCCGCAGTGCTATGGAGCAGCCGCACCCCGGGGGAACCGCCTGCATGATCACGGAATCCCGACGCTAGGTAGGTATGATTTAGCAAGAGAAATACGAGAACGTCTATTAACTGTGTAACATCTCGTCACCGCGATTCAGGAATTGTTGAATTTACGTGCAGCGACTTCTGTTGATAACAAACTAAATAGAAATAAAATAAACATGGCGCGTAACGGAAGAAATTAGGATGGCGCGTAACCGAAAAACGTTACATACGTTTTTTTCCTAAATATCCTCGATAAAGAAGTTTCACTTCAAAAAGGTCTAATTAGTTGCAAAACAACTCGGTGCTTAGTAGTTATCGAAGCCTAAGTAGATATCACAATCATACGATGCGCGGTCAACTGTTTTTGTATCCGTGATTTCTTGTAATTCTTTCTCGATCATAACATTTTAATGACCTAAAGTTTTAACGCGGCTGTTTATAAATTCATACTACATTCGTATTCGTACTACAATAACAAAAAAAGGATTATTTAATTTTTTTAGTTAAATTGGTTAAAATTAAAAATTTTATTTTTTTAAATCAATGCCCAATGTTTTGATTTGATTGTTAACGTAATTATGGGAAGCTCGAAGTCTACAGAAAGACTGGTTCTCAGCGTTTCTTGGACTGTGTCCCATTAATCCCGTCATCTCCTTTTTACACCACCACCATTGTACCGGCCACAGATGTATACTTCATAGTACCTATTATCTGAAAGCACTACATACATCCACATGAACTCTCCAGAACCATTTTGCCGCAATGGGGCTCCTGAATCTTAGGCGGTTTTCACTTAACATCGAGTGAGCGGTATGACGAGGTCGTGTCTGTCTAAAATAATAATAATCACCGTTAGTCACAATGGGTTGGCGTCCGGTAATGTTATACAGCCAGTTTTACGTATTCTCCGCAGTAATTGGGCAGTAAACTGATAATGAGCTTCCTTCTGTAACAATATTTTAGAATGGCCAAATTTTACCACACCCTTACTTCACTCAAGTTTTACGGGCACAAGCCATTTTCTTTGTTATGTTTACTTTTCTTGGTTCTTACTTTCTTTAGGGACAATTTCATTAGGAGAAAACAAGACAAGAATGAAAAAATAAGAAACTAGAATGAATGTAGCTAATTCAATTATAAAATAAGATCAGTTTCAAGGTTTCTCTAAAACTACGTTTCTCTAAAAAGTAAGAAAAACGTTGTAAATAAACAGGCACCGGTTATAAATTAATATACACATGTAGGTATATGTATGTTATAATATGTATATTTTCTCTCCGTGAATCTCTCACTTGCAAAACTTTTGCGGCGCAAATATTAAATGGCATATTTTAAATCTACTATACAATGCCTTTCACAAAAAAGTTCCTTAAAAAAGTTAATTCGTTAACAAAAAAAAGTATATTAGTTTTAGAGTTTATTCTCGATGATTTTACGCAAATTTTCATTTTTTTCGGGCGATCCCTTTTCAGTGGCAGTCGTTGTATAATTTGGTTAGTTGTATTTAAAATCGAGTTTGTGATTCCGTCTGGATTCAAGTACCGCCAGAATTTACTATGCGTAGGACTCAATCGTTTAGTGATTAAAGAATTCCTTAAGCCTCGAGTATGTTATCAAAGGGCGCGGGGCGATTGAATCGGTGCGGACGTATCCATAACCACTTATCAATAGCTCGCCGTGATGATAAGCGCTCAGATAATTACAGCACACAAATTACATGGCAACGTCGCGTTGAGCAACAGTATACAACTACTGACACATATTGCGTTAGCTCCTCGCAGCGGGCGACTTGCGGTCGAACGATAATTTACTTAAAATTATAATCACGCAGTGGTGTCGCCGACTCCGGCCGCACGCCCGATTCTCTTGTTACGACGGATTGCCTTTCGAGAATTCAGCATCGTCGTCAATTCTATCAACAACAACGGGCGAAGACTACACGGAATGCATGATTACTTTATCAAAATAGATTTTGGTCAAGGTTGAGCGAGTTCTACGTAGGTATCCCCGACGGGACCCGTCCGTACGCGCTGGTGTCAGCTCGAGATGATTAATCGTTATCTTAATTGTTGATACAGCAAGCTAGGTAAGCGGAACCGCTCGCGTCGTCCTCATTATATTCCATTAAATGAGCTCGAAATCTATAAAAATCGTTTTAGTATTCTCCCGCAATAAAAGAGTATGCTCAATTCACCTTACAAAATTATTTAACTCGGCACAGTGAGCTCAAAACGTCCAATGACAAATTCACGTCGAGCTTACTAGTTCCCAGTTCAATATATTGAACTAGTATAATTTTGATTATACACGATAAAATTGCACTTCTGTCACGGTGTGATAAATGGTATTCAAATCTTTCACTTATTGCACGATGACAAAAAGTAGGATTTATACACTTTATTTATTACTTCTTTCGAAAGTTATTGTTTCCAAGGCCAAATTAGATCGAATCGAAACGCCGCAAAATAATGCTAATCAATGGTTAGAGGTTAGCTTAAGACTTTATCCTGACGATAAATGCAGAGTGCGGTCGCAGTGTATAAGACATTTAGCCCGAGTTAGACATTTCCTTCGTTCCGCAGTCCACATTAAGATTATTTACGGCGCTGCGGATCCGTGCCGCAGGGCGCGGTGCGGCTCCGACGGCACTCTTATCTTGCGATAACACCACCCTCCGAAACTTATTCCGCTTTCAGAGCTAAGGTCGACGGATATCGATCCGCGGCAGCTGGAGACCGCACCGACCGACCTGTCTCCCATCCTCGCCGTCGCCGGAACCACCGACCTTTCGCATTGTGCCCAAAAAATATCTCCTATCATTTAGGAATGTTCTATGTATACATTCCCGTCGTTTAGGATTGGACCCGAATAGACTTAGAAAGAGTTTAAGTGTGTGGACGGACTTGGATGTTGCAGGAAGTAAGCGATGGTGACGGGTGAATCAACCCTCAGTGCGGCTAAATTCATTTTTTGATAAAACAGTCATGAGACCGGAAAATAAGCGCCACCCCCGCTGCCGTTCTGCAACTTCTCAGAAAATTGGACAGAAAAGAGAGGTGAACACTTACCGTTTCCGTTGATTAAGGGGTAGTCGTCGTCGTGCCGACCGATGTACGTCTTCAGCGGGGTGTCCGTGAGGGAGGGCGACGACCTGTCCCTGTCGCTCATAATAATCACTTATAACACCGGGCTTAGACTCGATACGAGAACACTATCGGGGAGACGCGCCGGCCCCGCACACACTCGAGCACGACCGACCTCCGGCCCGCGGCTCGCGCGGCGATTAAATACTCCAAGCTCGTGGACGTCGCTCCGCGCTCGGCCTCGCTGGCGCTGCAATCAATCCGCGATGCGCCACCGACATCTGCCGTCGCTTCGGTCGATCCACGGTACATACTCTCGTCGGTAGAGGCCGCTGTTTCACGTATGTTGCCAATAGCCTTCATTTCACACAATCACTACGCGAACTGTAACTAATAAAACGTACGTACGTAAATAGTTTAATTGTTCGGAAACCACTCGAAATATTCGAAGTCACAATAAAACTCATTATTAGTTTTAGCTTCGGGATCTACCCTTAGAACCTACACAGTATATCGCCTCGAGTGGGCTTAAACAACTATGTGTACCAAACCAAATTTATGAACCAATTTTGTTGACACGAAACTTTTTTGTTGCTGTACATTTGCAAATTAGCCTAGCCGGGCCGGTGCTCAGTTAAGGTTATCAGGGTTATTTTACCTGTTACTGTTACATGTGTTACGTTACGTCAAGTTACCTGTGTTATTCCCCTTGTACAGGAAAAAAAGACGTAGAACGAGCAACAAAACTAAGTAGATAAGTATAATTAAATTTTTTAAGATAGAGCATTGTCCATGACATTAATTATACAATGCTGTTTTCTTACTTCACTTCTCAATTTCATGAAACCTCTTCTCTTGTATGGTGACCAGGCGTGTTGTAAGCCCGCACGGAATGGTACTGAGATGCTGCCTTCATGGGTTTCATGCGTTTCAGCTTGTATTGCGTACGCCCGTCAATTCCGAAAATGTTATTGTAATGTTAACTGAGTTGACATAGCGATGGGCGAAAATTGTTAAACAAAATCTGATAGAGAAAATTCCTAATCCTGGTTAAAAAAAGAACCAAAAAGACTATAGGTAATTAGGGTTTTGACGCTTTGAGAACGAACATGCTATCCTAACTCCATCTATTGAAAGGGAGCAAGAACAGGAATGATTTTTTTATGAAGAAAGGATTATTGGAGTTCAGAAAGCCTTTCCAATTTCACCAAGGCAGCTGGGCGAGCACGGATTCAGCCAGGAGGGGACAGCGATGTCGGTGTTAGCATCGGCTGTTATGTACTCGTATGTACATTTTGTTTTACATGAATTTTACATTCATTGTCTTATCTTTCTACTACTTTTTTGCAAAAAAAGGCAACTGGTGATTATTCACTCAATGCTATTGCTAATACACGATTCTACGCTTATGAACATTTCGTTAAATTTTGGTTCAGACAAACAATTCAGAGTAATCAATGTCGCACTTCATCATATATGCAGCTGCAGTTCAGTGCCTCGTTTGTTCAACCTTTAGCCAACATCGGTTCGAAGTACAGGCATTGCTTACATAAAGATTTGAGGTTCCGAAGGAAATTGAGTTCTAATTTCGAGAAGGTGGATAAAGTCCAGTAGTCTCCCGGAGGTTTTATTCTTGATTGAAATGGATTGATGTGATCTTCAGACCTATAGCTATAAATAAATGAAAAATAATCTTTATATCTTTGTAAGTACTTTAATAAAATTAGTATCAGGATTTTAGATGTAAGTTGTCTAGTTGCGCTGTTTGTGGCTATGAAACTATTCCATTGTTGTTCGAAGGTTGAAGCTACGGCACCGGCCCGAAACGTCGGCTGGATTGTGAGCGCTGTGTACTCCGCTACTGTAAAATCTGCCACGTCTTTCCGCTGTCGCAGTAACGCACGAAGCTCCCTCTCCGCCACGCTGGCGGAGGTAGACGTAGCAACTGAGAAAAAAAATTAAAATATGAGGTCACACAAAATCGAATCTCGAAATGGTGGCGTTCAATTTCAATCGGAGGTTAATTAATAAAATTGTATTCGAGCATGTTACAGTTTGGTGAATATTGAAAGTAATAGGATAGAACATTATTTGGTGTCGAGCAGTGTGGTGATGACAGCATCATTGGAGTATTCATCATGGAACAGACAACAGAATTCTTAAAATAATCCGAAGCCCCCACTCGTGCTTAGCGCCTCCAGACCGTTCGAGACACTCGTACGAGGTGGTTCCGTGAGTTCACGGTCAAGACAGATGAGCGTGTGCTACAGCCGTTTTTGGTCGTCGACGATATCAGAGTCACAGCTTAATCGTTGCTAACAATTATTTTCTAACCTTTCTGCAGAAGTAATTGCCATACATCAGCGCTGTTGGGATGCACGACTACTTTACGCAATTGGTCTATTTTTTCAACATAATACTTATGCGTATTATATTTATCTGACCATAATAAAAAACAGCAATTTTTCCCATATCATCTCATATATGAGTCGACTATTATCAAAGGCGGCAATCTGACTTTTGGACAATGATTGGTAAATCAGAAAAACGAATTATTGGCTTTGTATTCCATCGGCAGTCACAAAACTCTTCGGAACGACATCTTAGATAAATAACAGGTTAACTATTAACCTTTATTTAATGCAGGTTTTGAACCGTATTCTTTGAAGGAGACGATTATATTCAAATCAATCTGTATTGACATATCAATAAATATTTTTTTTCCAAATGTACAGATTGCCACCTTTGATAATAGACGACTCATATTAACTTATTATAGGTACGGAATCAAATTGTTGTGTTTGTGGCTCTTGGTAGCCACCTAACACTAAATGCACCGTGAGCACCTATGCCCATCTACTGCAATAAAGTAATAAAAACTCACAAGTATATAACTATTTTATTTCTCCATAACTAGCAATATTATCTCAGATCGGTGTTAGCAAAATCAATAAAACCCACTAAATTATACAAACGTAGCTTGAAAATAGCTAGGTAGGCTTTCCGGGTCGGACGAAGTGCTGATCGAAACAACTGCAGTATTCATTTTCATTGATTTCAACTGGCTACTTGAGTACCTACTGCGGAAAGTTCTTTTGATGTACCAAATAACTCTTAATTGTTCTTTGTTTACGACACACAAATATATTTGATATCGACTAAAACTGTCGTTTTCCCTGTTGCAAAGCTGACACTGAACGAACTAAAATTACATTATGGAAAATAAGTAAATTAACAAGTGGTGCAATTAAAATAAAAACAATACTAGAGGTGGTAAAATGGTAAATAAAATATTAATACACGTATTAGGAGCACAATCCAAGAGGGCCACATCAATGTAATCACAAACGACTTCATCCCAATTGTCAGTGAGGTCTTGAATGTTTTTGGCTCTAGCGATGAGTTTCTTCCTCATGAGATGCTTCGCTCGGTTCAACCTCTCTGGAGTATCTTCTGAGAATTCGCGAGCCCTCGGCAGTATTACCTCCGAGCTTGGAGGCTCCACCATTACCACTGTGGGTATTTTAACTGTCACTTGCAACAACACAGGAGGCTTTTTCGTTGATGAACCAATTTTGATACTTTCTTTACGCTGTGCCTTTTTCAAAATTGATAACCTAGATTTCTCTGCTACTGATAGCTCTTGGGATGAGTTGTTTGATTTAGTCATATTTAACGTGAGTGTTGTGGTAGGTGCTGCTGTACTGGATCGAGTTGTCGTCTCAGATGGCGGTAGATGGCTGGTAGACGATGATGAGGGAGATTCAGCGCGCCGATATGTCCACAGCACGTCGATGACGTTCGCGCTGCTGGGTGTCGACACAAACGTCGTCGCTGAGCATACAGAAGCCTTTGGTTAACTCTCTGTTCTTCTAATCACTTTCGCGGCAATCAAAATATGTAATTTACAATTATTCGATTTAAGAAATATCTATTACATTAGCATATTTTATAGTTTAACACAAAATTGCAACATAAAATTGCAATAAGAAAAAAAATTATTGAAGAAATAAATAAACTTACCGGAAGTTCGTTGTAGTAGAATTGGTAACTTGCTCTTTATATTCTCTACTCTTTTCATATCATAGTAATCTCCATCTTCGTCAAAAATTTTCTTGTTCTGTTTTTTTCTAAGTCGAAGATCTTCATCATCAATGCTTGGTCTGTAGCGGTCTTCTTGCGAGTGAATTAAAGTCGGTCTTCTTCGTCTCTCTTCATTGACATTTGCATAGTCCAGCTCCTCGTTTTTAACCCTTCTATCTGGTACTAAATCTCCATTTAAATCAACATTAAAATGTCGAACGGGAACTCTATCTCTCGGCTTTCTTCTTACTACTCTTTTTGTGCTTTCTTTATATCTTTCATCATCATCATCATCGTCAAACTCTTTGTTTTTATTTCTTCTGAATTCTTTTTTTTCTACATAATTGTCTTCATTATTATTATCAGGTTCCCTTATATTCTTACTGCGACCATGCCGCATTGACTTTCGTAAAGCAGCTATGTTGTCTTCGCGATAGTTCCAACTCTTCGTTTTTGGATTGCGCTGAAAATAATTCTGGTTAGGTCTCCTGTGTCCGAAGTCAGCTTCCAATTCGTTATCAAATTCTGTGTCGTGAGTATCTTGGGAATCGATTACTACTCGCCTTCTTCCCTTAGATTTTTTCCATGTTTCGACTTCGGCTTCTCTTTCCAAACTTTCTGTTTTACCTATTAAATAAAAAAATATTATCAGTGAATGTGATTTTTTTAGTGTTCAATTCATGAAAAATGGCAATCACTTATTATCATGACCTTAATAGTACAAAAACGCAGCCACAAATAACATTCAGATACATGTTAATTTAACATCTAAACGTAATTATTGAAACCGAATGTATAAAAGCTCTCGTGTAAAGTTTGATCTCTTTGAGTCTCGTAACTCTAAAGAAAAGTGCTCTTAGAGGAAGTCAGATCGAAGTTTTTCTAGTACTGATACCAATTTCCAAGTTTAATGAAAAAAATTACCATATTTAATATCTTCTTCATACTTATAATCGAGAGGTGAGGAGGCGTCTGGTGAGTGTCCGTGGTAGTCTTCAAGCAAGGGCTCGGCGTCATCAGATCCTTCGTCGCCTGTTTCGTACTGTGGCATTTTAGCCCCAGAGTAGTCGCTGAACCTGGCCGCTGACACTACTGCACTCCACGCCAGTACCAATACCAGCGCCAACGCCATCCGCCCTCCCCCAAATGTGCCCCCTGCACGTCGCCAGAGCTCTCTCCTAGCTAGTATGGTGGCCACGATAGTATTTTACTCTGTAAAAATTGTGGCATATTCTACAACGGGAACTACGAATTTGACATTTGGAGAATTTGAAACTACAACTTGAAGATTGTCAATTATGTTTGCGATTAAATGACATTGATAAACTTTTTTTCTTACTTAATTTAGATAGACTCGTTGACTCCTTGCGTGTATTACCATCCACGTACATGTTGCATTCTCTTTGGTTAGCGCGGTACTACCATGTTACTTTTTTGTATGACATCCGTCAATCAACCATTTTAGAACAAAATAAAAGCAAAATTATTGTAATGCATTATTTCTAAACAAAAAAGGAAAGAAGTCCGTCCTATCTTTCCATTACGATGATTATGTAATTCAGGGACGCTATGGTTGGAAAAAGTAAAGATGTGAAGGAGGAGGATTGTGATTGTTACGCGGAGTCTCGCACCAGCGACGCATGTCCTCCCATCCGAAACGTCACACACCCATTGGTAACTTAATTTTTACCATTATTTTAAATTATGTAATGTAGATAACACAGTCCGTGAAAGATGTGAAGTCGATTTTTTATGATACCTACTTATCCTACCATACTTCAAGAAGGACAGTCGATAAAAAATGAAATACACTCACTTGTTAAATAGATTTGCTTTCATGAACATGGGCGTGGCGGACAGTGATTATTAGGATACTTCTTGTTGAATTGCTCGTTTGAGTATTGGGGAGGAGAGGGAGATTGTCCCTTTCCTTATCCTATCTCGGCCGGAGTCCCGCAAGACTCCGCTTTCTCGCTGCTCCGATTGAATCAGTTTAAGTCAATGTTCTCGAACTCGGCTATCCTTCTTCTCGTTAATACTACGGCTGTTTAGTGTAGGAATAAATCCTTTATCTCGAAGGTACTACACCCAAATACCACAGCCAATACCACAGCCAAAACCCTAGGACAGTGTTTCACAAGTGGCGCATTGAAGTTATCCTAGCGAGAAGCATGATGTACTTTTTCACCTACCTAACGCGAATTTATTTCCCTTTGAGAAGCAGGAATATCAACCACTCTATCTTCATCGGCCAGTCGCTATCCCGGACCAGGCAAATTAGTAAATCGGTGCCATCCTGGATATATCCATGACATTTAATACTTATTTGTCATAGAATGAATTAGGTCAATGATTAAACAATTGAGAGTTACAACTCCAGTGTCATATAACAAAGTAGTTGGCGGCATTCAGTGTATCTACATACCTGCTGATGCACATCCAATGATTGCTTCAGACAAGTCACAACTGATACTTTGAAAACGAAAACCTACATGTTTAAAAAAAAAGAAACATAATCCGTGCACTTTAGAAAATTACCTAAAAATTTACAAAACAATTGTTTTCAGCGCTACTACGAATTCACACAAGACGAAATTAAAGCCCTTGAAGAATGTGACAAGGAGAGCTTCTATCAACGCTGTGTCCCGTTCAGTGCGCTGTTCGCTTCTCTAACATACGCTGCCGTCAAATATGGTAAGTTAAATCACATAGGTTTGGTAGGGACGCCACGGAAAACTTTCATAGAAGTAAGATTAATTTCAGGATGCATTTTTTTCTCATTACAATTAAATATAACAGTTCAGTGACGTTCCCCTAACGGTATCTTACTTCTATGAATTTTTTCTGATTTTAGGGTGTCTGAAGCGTAATCCGCATTTTGGCGCATACCCCAAAATCATGCTGGCAGCCGTCCTGGGCTACGTCTACGGGAGGCTTTCATATATTTCCAACTGCGACCAGAAACTACGACAATTGCCCGCAAATAGTCATCTCGGGAATGTGATGAGGAAATATCATTTACAGGCAAATACAACGCCGGATCCTAAAAGAAAATAATTATATCGCATTGATCGCATCGGTCTTCAATAAAATGTTGAATGAAATCTTTGTTTTTTTAAGCCTTAATACAGGAACAAAGCTTGATAACAGTTTATATAATCTAGGAATTAATTTACGAATCTTGGTATATATAGGTCATCGAGGTCATTAGTGTATAAGGAAAAGTCATGTGACTACAATTCTACTTATGATATGTTACATAACAATATTTCTTTGTTGAAAAACTACTCATAAATTGGATACTTCGTACTATATGCATCTTTAATAAAAAGCCGCAAACGCTTTTTACTGAAAGCAATTATATATCAAGAAACGGTGCACAAATCGAAGATAGACGTAGAGGAGCAACACGTCAGAGCTCCTAACGTTTTGGCAACTGGTTCAATATAAATTTTGAATATGTTCCGTTTCAAAAGTTATTGATAGTAGTAGCATGCGACCAGAAACAGTAGTATAGCAATAAAAGTAGTTACAGGTTTGTTGTAAAATCTCGATAAAACCTTGTCTTCACCTTATTCCACTAGGTGGAGTCGGCACAGAGAATGTTTCTATTGCATTCTCTTCTATGAGCTGTCATCTCAACACTCACTCCTCTCTTTCACATTGTCACTCACACACTCGATCCATGTTTTCTTCGGTCGACCTCTTCCCCCTCTACCTTGTAACTACCATTTCCATACATCTCCTAGTCACAAGCGTTTCCTCTCTACGCATCACATGTCCATACCACGCTAACCGTCCGCTCTTTAATTTGTCAATCACCGGGGCTACTTTCACACTTCCTCTGTTATACTCATTCCTTATTTTATCCATTCTTGTAACGACACGCATCCATCTCAACATTCGCATCTATGCCACGTGTACTCCCTCTTTCATACTTTACTTTTGTCGCCCTACTTTCAGATCCATACAGCACGACAGCTCTAATGATCGTTTTGTGAATTTTGGCGTAAATTTTGGCTTGGTTTTTGTTCGATTGATCTTCAAACCTTCGTTTTCCAACCTTTTGTTCCATTTTGTTAGACTCCCCTGTACCTCAGGCCTGCCTCTTCAACGAGAACAATGTCGTTGACCAACAGCATACACCAGGGCGTCTCCTCCTGTATGTCCAATGTTAGAGTATCCATTATTAAGATGAACAGGTAAGGCCTTAAAGCTGATCCTTGCTGCAACCCTACCGCCACACCAGCTGCGGAGCGTACATAAGTATTGGTTCTACCGTACATAGTTTGAACGAGCAGCTGGTATTTCTTTGGCATTCCTTTTACTTTACGCTCCACCACAGAACCTCACGGGAAACCCTATTATACACTTTTTCCAAATCAACATGTGCAAGTTTTTACTTGCACAGCGGTATTTTTTACACAATTGGCGAAGGGAAAAAGGGCGTCCGTTGTACTGCGTCCCGGCATGAACCCCCATTTCAAGAAAGCTGCACGACACGAGACACCTCTCGAGAATGGTAAACAGTCGATGTCACCAAAAACAAGCACCAGTCATCATTCTCGTCGAACCCGTCGCTTGCGACGAAGGGCTTGGCTAGTAAATTAACCCACAGACACAGCCTACTGAGTTTCTCGCCGGATCTTCTCATTGGGTCGCACTTCCGATCCGATTGTAGATTCTGAAAAGCACTGCTCTTACTAGGGTTAGTATTAGCAACGACGTCAGTTTTGGGCCCCGTGAGCTCACCTACATAAGGTTACGCTGAAGTGGTCTCACAAGATCATCAGCTTAGGTAGAAAAAAAAGGCGTGAACCCGAGCTAGATGTTTGATACTTCACTCTCCTCTCTCATTCTTCTCGCTATCACTTTCTTCCAAGCTTTCGTACTATGTAACATGAGCTTTATTCATGCATGGATGAGCTTAACACTATAAGAAGGGAAAAATTATCCAAAGCTGGCCATCAGCTGGCTTCGTTCACTAGCAAAATTTAAAGGCTCAATTTGTTTTAAAATAGTAGACTGTCGTATTATCTCCCAGCCCAAGTGTCTACCTTCAGCGTTTGAATCCGTAACAATTGTTGACTGTTGTCTAAGCTAAGAGTTCTAGAGGTACGGTTTTGAATTGAAATAAAGTCGCAGTTTCATTGCAGATGCTACGCTCCGCGAGTTCCTCTTGTCTGCCAGTGTGTCTTTCCACTATAGCAAATGCTGCACAACGTCCACGATTCCCTAGCTCCTATCCTACTCACTGAAAGTTCTCGCTACCTCTATGAAGCCCTGCCTACGTGGACCTGTAAATATAAAGCGTGCAGTGTGCTTAAATGGTGTGGATGTCACCTCTTAGCAAGTCACGCGTTTGGCATTTAGAGACATCATGAAGCTAAAAAATCGGACGTAGCATGGCCATCCCAAAGTAGATGAATCTATTTACATTTTCTTGCCGAGAATAGTTATATACCTACAAGTGAGTTAACATCAACGTGCAGTCATGAAACCGTTGAATGGCTATTCTAGGTATCCAAAGTTTTGCAAGGAAGGAGAAAAATGGCGGTAGTAACACCGGGAATAATAATAATAAATCCTGACCTAGAATACTATTTACATAATTAACAAATTGAGAAATTGCGCAGATGGCATCAACAATATAATATTAACCAGTTATCCTCACACTAAGCACAGCCTGTATCGTGAGGACCAAATAACAATTTACTATGTATATAATCGACCTCAAAACGACATCACTATTATTAATAATTATTACACATTACACTCAAAAACATGCGTTTTCAAACGTAATAGAAAAGTTAAGTAATAAAAATAACACGTCAATTAATGATAAATATGTGGGGAGCGTAGAAATAAACAAATATAAATAAAGAAATAAGATAAAAATAAATAAATAAAGATACAAAACTAATAAATCTACTGCTATTTCTTGATTTTAATGAAGTTCTCTCTGTGTCCATATAGTTCAATGTTAACAACCATTTTTTCACTAGTGGTTTAGCTTGCCTAACCGTTTGGTGTTTTAGGTTTTCATTGCAATATTTAATGATCGCGTTATAAATATAGATTAGATAGATATAGAATACGGATCGTTTGGAACCTCTGGGTCTGCGGAGGGACTTCGGTTCCCTCTGCATTTTGTACCGTATGTTCCATGGGGAGTACTCTGAGGAATTGTTTGGAATGATACCGACATCTTGTTTTTACCATCGCACCGCCCGCCACCGGAGTAGAGTTCATCCATACCACTTGGAACCACTGTGGTCATCCACAGTGCGTTTCCAGAGATAATTTTTGCCACCTACCATCCGGCTATTTATGGAATGAGTTCCCCTCCACGGTGTTTCCCGAGCGTTATGACATGTCCTTCTTCAAACGAGGCTTGTGGAGAGTATTAAGCGATAGGCAGCGGCTTGGCTCTGCCCCTGGCATTGCTGAAGTCCATGGGCGACGGTAACCACTCACCATCAGGTGGGCCGTATGCTCGTCTGTTTACAAGGGTAATAAAAATAATAATAGATCATAGCAACTTCTTGAAATATATGTTTTTAGATCGATGAAAATTTTGTAGCTGTCAAAGTTATAGGTATTTTTTTTTCCTACCTAAGCTGGTAGCATGGAGCGGCTATTCCAGCGTAACCGTAACTAGTAGGTGAGCTCACGGGGCTCAAACCTGACGACGATGCTAACACGAACCCTAGCAACAGTCGTGCTTCGCAGAATCTACCACCGGATCGGAAACGCGACCCACTGAGAAGATCCGGCGAGAAACTCAGTGGGCTGTGTCTGAGAGTTAATTTACTCGTCGAGCCCTTCGTCGCAAGCTACGGGTTCGACGAGAACGATGACCGGTGCTTGAAGTACCTAGAAGCACCGTTAGTGGATCGGGAGGATCCGAAATGACGTGTTTTGGGCGACGTCGACTGCTTTCCATTCTGTCCGCAGGATCGGGAATGTAGTTACCGGCGGCCACGATGAGAGGGTTCTCGTGTCGTGTCGCTTTATCGAAGTGGGGTAATTTATAAGCCCTGCGTTTAATCAAGGAATCGTGTATTTCAGAAGAGAGCACCGCTCCATGTATCAGTTACAATATTTTTAAAATGAATAACTGACCCACGTTGAGAACTTGACTTTCCTTGTAAACGCGTTCTGTAAAGTACCTTCGAAGTTTATTTAGTATCACCCTTAACACTGAACGTTGAGCTCCTTCTAATTCAATTAGCACAGTTTTTGAAGCAGATCCCCAGCAGATGATACAGTACATTGATAGGGATTGTCATGGTGCGAAATATATGGATTTGAGAGTATCAAAACTAGCCACGTCACGTAGATTCTTCATGACGTATACACATCTTCTAATTCGACCAGACGACTCCTGAATATGTGTCTTGAAAGACAGCTGTACATCCACTATGACACCAAGATACTTTATTTCATTAACTCTTGCAATCTCCTTGCAATCACACGAAGGATCAATTCCTTCGCAAACGTTAAACGTTAACAAACTCGTTAAACGTGTATAACGTTAATACGCTGAAGCAGACATTGAGGTTTTGCAAAAACAGATGTACACGCTTTTCCTTGTATACAATGTCAGAAGATTACATTGTAGCCATTTCTGTACTTTGGACATTTCCGCCTCAGCCGCAGAATGAGCATCATGCCATGTTGATCCGCTAAAT